TGGACTCACTTGAAGGCTCAACCGGTATTTGTGAGACTTTTCAGAGAGAAGTCCCTGCAGTGCAGTTTTTTATTTTTTTTAATTGGGAACCATAGTTCTACTTTAAGATCTCCTCTACTTCTGGTCCTACTTGGGTAGCTAGGATTCGGTTGTGAGATAAATTCTCTGCTTTCTCTTTACAATGCATTCTCAATATAATTCTAATAGTAATCCACTAGAAAGCTGCTGATACCTACATTATTAAATTACCAGCCTTTTTGTCAATTGTTTTTTAGGAAAACCTGGAGACTCTACTACAGAATAGAAACTAGGGAGTTCAACTTGCATGCAAATCATAGCTGTCGAAACAGGGCCAAGGTTGAATAGAAATCTCCTTAATGGGGTCACAAACAGTAATAAATTGGAAAGTGTCATCGAGCCCTGCACATCATTTGCACCTCCTCCCTTTGCCATAATGTAAACAAATGCCACAGTGTCCAAAGTTCCTAAGGGAAATAATGCATATTATCCCAAAAGATGTTTATGTTGCTATGTATTTTAATATTTCCACGAACAGAGTGCAGATCGAGATAATTTTACAAGTTTGTAAACACATAATAAGTTGTCTTCAGATATTTAATGGGCAACTTCCAGTCACAAGATCATTTGCAAATGATCCCAGAAGGCCATGTGTAAAGTGTAAATATGGATCACACTGTATAAATCATATATTGTGTCCATATGTGCAAAAGCATAAATGTTTGCATGCTTCATAAGGGCCTCTTAATTGCACTTTATTTTGGACAAGTGCGCACTAGTGATTACAGAAGTGCCACAATGCTAAGAAATACACAGATCATTCCTTTGTATAGTTTGATGCCCATTCATATTCCTCTCAAGCACCTGCTTGGTTTCTACGTATGTGTGGTGGTGGCTGATGATGAAGTGATATGACAATATTGTTCTCTTTAAAATTGGTGTGGTTTTCATCAGGCGCCTCCTTATGATTAAAGGAGAACTATGAGATGAGTGCTTTTCACTCACCTCATAGTTCTAGCCGACCTGTGACAATGAGACTGTCACAGGTCGGCTCAGTAGATCGGGAGGTGAGAGAACACATACCGGGTTCACTCACCTCTCGATCCTGTCACGGCTCTCTGCCGTGACAGGGGGAGGGGATGAATTCCCCCCCTCCCCGCTCCGATCTGCCAGCGCTGACTGGCGGAACGGACGGGGGAGGGGGCGGGTACAGCTGGCTCTGCCTCTAGATAGGCAGAGCCAGCTGTCACTCACGCAGCTGGGCGGATCCCGTCGTCTAAGTCGGCATCCGCTCCGGCTGCGGCGTCTCAGTATACCGCTAGCTGTAGCTCGCGGTATACTGAGCCTAGGGTGACGGGAGGACGCTAGTTTGTGTCCTCCGTTACCCTAAGGAGAACTATGTGGAAAAACACTGACCCCATAGTTCTCCTTTAATTGATAATCACATATTGACCTTTTAATAGTAAAGCCATGTTTTATGATAGTTTTGTCTTGTTTTCTGCTGTCAATTTTGTGGTGGACTGCTAGGGAAATATGAGTCAAGAAACCTTTCAGTCATTGAACAGGCAACAGGTAAATATTTTTTTAATCCGATAATTTGTATTGAGTTTTCTTTTAACAACACAAAGAAAAACAAATTACAGAGAAAAACGGTCGAGACGACCAAAGGGCAAAATATACATATAGCCACCACGCTAGGAGCAGTTACATATCCAATACAATAGAATACAGTGAGTAATATACCGGTACAATATAAGAACTTCTATTGGGGTCCAGAGTTGCTGGCAACAAGACGCTGTACACTAGAGCAGGGCAGAGGGGGCAGAGTAAGTGGCAGGATGTTTCTTCACATACAGAAAGTTATGAAGGGCACACTGCAATCTCCTACCCACAAAATACTGTAAGAATCCTAAAGAGAACCCTCTGATGAGGTCACATGTATTTTAAATGATGGTATCTTTGCAAAGAAGCAAAGTAAGAAGAATTTTTTTTTTTAATTTAGTACATGGGTTTGTAATGGCAGGCTTTGGAAAGTTATAATTTACCAAAGTTCAGCTTTAATAGATGTGCACTTTAATTTGGTGGCCCTTTTGTTTTCATGCAGTGCCATAATGCTCAATCTGCTGGCCGCACCTCAACATTACAGCCCCATAGGCTTCTGTAGAGGCCACCCTCACAACAGGGAAATGGATGCAGCCAGGAGAGGGAGATTTGCAGTGCTAAATGTCAACAATCAGCCGAACAGCAGCCCTTTGATCTTGGTAAGTAAAGATCTGTGGAGGGCAAGGGTTGGATCATTTAGGTCAGGGACAAAAGAATACATGTACTTTGTCTAAAACATCTTTGCATGGATACACTTATGGCTTTATATTTCATTTTGTACTATAGGAAATGAATGCCTATTTTCCCTGCGTGCAGCGATGTTCAAAGAAACCAGAACAAGTAAACCTAAGGTTGCCTGTATTACATATTTACTGTAGGGCATCCTCAACATTTAAGATAGACTTGAAAAACTATTGCTTGAGTTCTTTTTTTTATTATTTTTCAATTTCTTTTCTGAAGGTTTCAACAAAATACAGTGTAAAAAAAAAACCCTGGACTCTGAGTCACTTTCTTTAATTTCTACAGCAGCAAGGACATCTATATTTTATAGTCCTGTATACTGCTATCTGATGCTGCCGTGGGAATCATTCATGGATGTGAGAGCCCCTTCTGGAACTGTAAATCACGCTGCTAGTGGAAATCCAGCAATTTGTCATTTTTCACTACTGATCTGCCTTGATAATAGAGCTAGGCAATCTTGTGCCAAATGATAATAAATCTGAACTTATAAATCTACTGTTTCACTGCAGAAATTTATACTGTGTGTTTACATGTCACTAAAAATGTTTTCCTTTTGCATCTACAGTAAAAGACAACAAATTGCATACCAAGATAGAGATAGAAATAGGGTTTAAAATTAAGTTGTCTCCTTTCATGCATCTCAGTACCAAACAAGTTTTACAGAGGCCAGCCATATTTTGTGATATTTGTCTGTACTCCACTCTTTACCCATCTTCAAAATATTATGAAGGATTTTTTTTTATGTAGTTAGGTCTTTATTATTGTGTGTACTGAAAACAGGTCTATATTATTGTTTGGACTGAAAACTGGTAATGCTTCCAGAATTAGAAGGGATAGCAAATTATGAGCAGCAAATCCCAAGGATAATGTGGAAGAGCTAGAACTGCCCGTTATAAATCTTTAAAAATGGTAGTTTACAATTTGATGCTGTTATATATATATATATGTTAGTGTAAAAGAGGGCCCAGTGAGATCTTATGAAGATAATACCCAGTGCTTCCAACATTCCACTCCAGTCAAACCTACACTTTTCCATTTGCCTTTGCATCACAAGTGGTGGCCGCTGGATCTGCATTGTTCTTTATGATGTTAACAAGTTAATTTTGGACCATCCCAGAGTTCTACTTAAAGTGTGATATATGACCACAAATGCTAGTAGGAAGACGGCCACAATTATTAATAGGATTATCAAGAAAAGTTTGGGAAATGGCAATCATACATTTTATTTCAGTCAGATAATTTGTTATCTGAGTACGTCTCCCCTCCCTTCTGCACTGGAGTAAACATTCAAAGTATGCATGTTTAAGAAAAGATCTCTCCAAAATAAGGCTATTGTCCTGCTTATTTATGGAAATGTGCTAGAGTAAATAGAACACGGGGAGGATTGTGTAAATGCTGCTTTTTATGGCTCTCTAATGCTTTCAGGCATTTTCTGTACATAAAGTCTAGATTGGATCTGAGGTGCTTGAAATCTGCAGGAAATTAGCCTCTAAAAGGCTCTAATTTTCTGTACTTTTTGTCCGTGAACTACTTAGCTGTGTTTTAAAGAAATTCAGCTTGCTTTTACAGACTGGGCTATTTTGTGCATTTATTTTATCTAGACAAAAAGTGGCAGTAATTTAGGTCATGATCACACAGTGCTTTCTTCAAGAAAAAATGTTTTTTTTTTTGTGTGATTTAAGGAGAGAACAAAATCTTGCACATTGGTGATCATTGATTTTTGAAGTTTGCAGCCTGTTTACCTGGTGATCATCGAATGCAGTCACACAGCAAATATCAGTAATATTTAGTGAACTACTTCTTGAAAAATATATGTGATATGTCTTGGGCAAGAAAAACCCTTAAGTGTAGTCGTTTGTAGGCAGCTTCAATATTAATGAGACTGCTGATGTTTTAGGGACTAATGATGTCCTTTTCAGTGGGAAGGCCTCTCCCTCTGCTTAATTTTTACATCCACTGTTTGTCGGCCTTAATTATCCTATGATCTACTTTAAATGTGTTAAAGTTAAACTGTAGCCATCAAGAATTTCATGTAACGCAGTTGGACTAGCATTTCTTCTGAGAATGTCATCCCCATGTTCATTCTTTACCTTTTTCACTCGTTCGTTTTTGCACAATAATTGACTGCTGCCAGTTTGGCTGCGAAGGAGCACTACAGATGGGTAAAATAATTCCGTAATGAGGAAATACATTGGGAAGAATTTATGAATATATATGCAACAAAACTTGTTGCATTTGGTCACAAAGACCAAAATCTTATGCTAACTGCAAAGTGACTGCACCTCTTTAATTTACAGAGGCGTCTGCACAGACATACAGTGACCGCAGACATTTCTTCTGCTGTCCTACATGGGATGTCAAATTGGAAATCTGCAATCTTATTTGAAATACAAAGCTTTAGAATTTTAAAACAAGCTGTTTTACATTTGAGTATCAGAAGTATAACTATAACTTTACTGGGATGTTTGCAGAGCAGCGTTAAGTAAATTTTTATCATATTAATATGCATTTTCTTTCTTGTGTGGCAAGTTACAACATTAAGATATGTTTGTACAGTTTTTGAAGTCTAATTTCAGTTCAGAAATCTTTTATGTCCTTTAGAAGTTATTTCATATACTTTTTTTATGTCTTTTGCAGGCGAGATGTTGATCTGGTAAGCCTGCACCAATAGCAAATCTGCCATGAACAACTCAGAGGGATCTCAGGAGGTGGAGGCTAGCGATGAGCCTGGAAATGCAGACATCAATGAGTCTGTAGAAGCTGACCTAGAGCTACCAGAAGTTGAAGAAGAACAACATTTGAATACTCCTCCCAACTCACGGCAGGAACAGGAGGGACAATTTGGGCAGGATGAAGAAGGAACACTTGCTAGGTCTGCTAGTACAGAGAGTGGATTTCACAACCACACGGATACAGCTGAAGGGGATGTAATAGCAGGCCAGGAAGATGGGTATGATTTGGACAGAGCTCAGGAAAATGAGGATGAGAATACTTATGCTGTTCAGTACAGGCCAGAGTCTGAGGAATATACAGAGAATGCAGAAGCTGAGCATGGTGAGGCACTTCGTAACAGAACTCTACCCAATCACCTACATTTCCATGGTTTGGACCAAGAGGATGCTATAAATGCAGCTTATTCTGGTTATGTCTACACACACCGGTTATTTCCCAGGGGTGATGATGAACAATATGCTGAACCTTATGCAGACTATGGACTGCAAGAGCATGTTTATGAGGAGATAGGTGACACACCAGATCTGGACATTAGTGAGGGTCTTCGACTCTATGAGCAGGAAAGAGAGGAAGCTGATAATTATAGGAAAGAAGCTCTGGGTGCTCGACTTCATCATTACGATGAGCGGTCAGATGGTGAGTCTGATAGTCCTGAGAAAGAAGCAGAGTTCGCTCCATATCCAAGGATGGACAGTTATGAGCAAGAAGAAGACATTGATCAGATTGTAGCAGAGGTCAAACAGAGCATGAGTTCCCAAAGTCTTGACAAAGCTGCTGAGGACATGCCAGAATCTGAACAAAACTTAGATCTTGCTGACCCCTCTAAAGTTAGTGAAGAAGGCCATGTTAGCAACGGCAACCTGTCTTCTGCCTCAAAAACTGCTGCTAATACAGGAGAAATCGTGCAAAGGTACAGTAAAGAGAAACGGGATGCCATTTCGCTGGCTATTAAAGACATTAAGGATGCTATAGAGGAAGTAAAGACTAGGACAATACGTTCTCCATATACCCCTGATGAGCCAAAAGAACCAATTTGGGTAATGCGTCAGGACATTAGCCCAACAAAGGACTGTGATGATCAGAGACCACTAGAGGGAGATGTAAGTATGATTAATTGTTCTCTGACTGTAGACTCTGGGTAATGACCAAGTCTATCAGCAGATATATAGCCACACAGTAAATTATTATAAAAACATAAGTCTTAAGAAGCCTGGTTATGAAGATTAGTTAAATAACTGCTTCCATTTTACTGCCTGGTATTTTTCCAGTTTATAAAAGTTTGTGATGTGAAGTAGACCATAAAAACTGTAGAAATGCAGCGAGACTGCAAAATGAAATGATACCACCTTAAAGAAAGCCTTTTTGTCATGTTAATGCAAGTTTTCTTCCTACTGGATTATGCTAGGTTTATGGTGGCTTACATTTTTGGTAAATATTTGTTTTTTTCTTCCTTTTGACAAGTAGGTGTCCTCGATTTTTTATTTTCAGCCTTGTCAAAATATAAACATTTGTAGAAATCTTTTCCAGGAAGCCTTGTATAGGCAAAACTGCCAGGATCGATATTTTATAAAAAATAGTCATTTAGCAGGTTTTCTTTTTTAAACAACAGAAATAAAATAACAAATATATTCTTCATCGCTGTAGGCGCACCCGACGCATATCTGCATGTGTGTGTGGGGGGCGGAGAACTTAAATTTTTTTTTTTTAAATGCTTCTTTATTTATATTTTATGATTTCTTTAATTTTAGTATTTCTTCTTCTTCTTCTTCTTCTTTCTTCCTTCTTCTTTCTTCCTTCTTCCTTCTTCCTTCTTCCTTCTTCCTTCTTCCTTCTTCGCTAAGTCCCCTATGTGATAGCCAATTTACATGACAGGTCCTCTTTATTAAGACATCAGGGGTCTGCAAGACCACTAATGTCACCTAGGGACCCCCAGAGAAGCTGATACAGCGGATCTCGGGACCGGCAACGGCAGTGACAGCTGCCAATACAAGTGATTAAGCGTCTCTAGAGACGCTCGATCGCTTGAACGTAAAGCTCCCGGCCGGCCGTGTAATTACAACGGCCGGCCGGGAAGGTGCTCGTCGGGCTCCTCCTGGATTTTTCAAGCCCTGTGTATGTGTGTGTGTATATGTATATATATATGATGTCATCTTGTCTACATCTTGTCTACTGGACTAATACGGCTTACCCATTTATATTGCACTATATATATATATATATAGTAACAAGATAGACATGATCTAATTAAATACATAGGTAGAGAAGATGAGGTTAAGGTGAAAGATTTGTTTTGATAGAATGGCAAAGGATAACGACCTCAATCTTGGCTGACTGTGTCATCATTGGATAGATTTGCCTCCATTACTTATGTAATCACTGGGCTAGGCAGTGAGGGTTAATTTCTCCAACAGTGACCACGGGAAAAAAAACCTGACAAAGGTTTTAATCATTTCTTACTTTAAAGTGACACTAAACTCTGGAGAATACATTCAAGTACCTTAACTATTAACAAATAAAAAATTAAGAGTTAGACTTTAGCAGTATTTAGCTGATATGTTCTGTGGATTAATTTGAAAAAAGAAAACTGTAACTGTAATTCTCATTAAAGCAACTTTTTCAGCCATAATTTAGAATTAACAAGCAGGTACCAAAGAGACGATACCACAAGGTGTATTTTACCTTTTTTAAGCAGAAAAGTGTTTCCTGTGTTCCTTTTTATTTAATTTCATATTACTTCTAGGGCCATGTCTGCTGTAATCAGCCCTGCAATCTGCCATGCCTCTCGACCTGTGATAGCACTTCAGCGGCTATTAAACACATTCGAATTGGACAGATAGTAGGTAGAATACGTCTTTGCCCAGAAGTCAGGGTAGTCAAGCCCCTAAATTTAATCCTAGCAAATTAGACAACAATTATTCTTATTTAATCTGTATTAGCTATACAAAGAGAAATCATCAAAGAATAGGAGTGACCTTTTACAATCTTTAATGTGGATATCCATGTTTTATGCAATCTTTACATATAGCTGTACCCACACTTATGTCATCTTTCTTTATGAAAGAGTAAAAACTATTGTAAAACCTCCTTAAAACCAGAGTTGGGGCGGGTGCAAACTGGCAATTTTTGCTATAGCAATCACCGCCTATGATGACTACACAAGCGATTACAAGCAATCGCTTCCTTTGTAGAAATGATCAACTGCACAAATTTGATCTCCTTTTTGTTTTGGGTTTTTTGTTGTCCATTTTGAGGATTATCCTGTATAGTTTCTGCAAGTCATACTCAGATTGTGTGCCTTCCCATTCATGAGTTACTGGCCCAGTATTTTATTGATTCTCATAAGCATTTGTTAAGTTTTTTTGTTTAGCCTTGATATTCAATGTTGATTGAAGCATACTAATTCATGAGTTTTCAGGGGATTGACCCTGAGCATATTTTTTGTTCAGCAAAATTGCTCTGTAGTTAGTGTTTCTCTGGTTTAGTAGACCCCAAAGCCAGTGTGTGTCTGAATAGCTCATGTATTATGCAAACAGTGACCATCAAATGTATCTATCTTTCATTAAAATTGGTAAGAAAAAAACAACAACCTCTGTTGCTAAAATATGAGTTTATTAGCCACTAGACAAATGACAGAAAAGTCATGGAATATACAATAAAACATATTACTAATTCATACCAGAGCAGGCTCTTTAGGTGTGAAACAAAACAATATGGAGCTGGTTATTTTGTTTGCAGTTAGTAAAAGATCCAGGAAGCCCTTTCAAGTCACTCTTTGTCAAATTGTCACGTACCCGTCCCTTAGCCCAGCCTTGCAATGCTCCTACTCCCATTCTCCATATAACTGAGCTCTAGGCTACAAAGCTCCTATTCTCAATATAACTGAGCTCTAGGCTACAAAGCTCCTATTCTCCATATAACTGAGCTCTAGGCTACACAGCTCTTATTCTCCATATAACTGAGCTCTAGGCTACACAGCTCTTATTCTCCATATAACTGAGGTCTAGGCTGCACAGCTCCTATTCTCCATATAACTGAGCTCTAGGCTACAAAGCTCCTATTCTCCATCTAACTGAGCTCTAGGCTACACAGCTCCTATTTTCCATATAACTGAGCTCTAGGCTACAATGCTCCTATTCCACATATAACTGAGCTCTAGGCTAGAAAGCTCCTATTCTCCATATAACTGAGCTCTAGGCTACACAGCTCTTATTCTCCATATAACTGAGGTCTAGGCTGCACAGCTCCTATTCTCCATATAACTGAGCTCCAGGCTACAAAGCTCCTATTCTCCATATAACTGAGCTCCAGGCTACAAAGCTCCTATTCTCCATATAACTGAGCTCTAGGCTACAAAGCTCCTATTCTCCATATAACTGAGGTCTAGGCTGCACAGCTCCTATTCTCCATATAACTGAGCTCTAGGCTACAAAGCTAAGATAATGCAAAAACAGGGACAGGTAAAGGTAAGAGTTGCAAGAGGGGGGGGCATGTTTAGGATAACTATTAAAAGCCCACCCAGTATGGGTAAAAGAGGACCTTGAGTAGGGAAATGTTTATAAAGCTCACATGCAAGCAACAGGTAAATAGCTATTACTAAACACATGGATAGGAACCACCCTTATACTGGATTTCAGACTAGTAAATATTGCAATGGCTACAAAGATAGTAACCAACTGCACTTGACAGCACTAGTAACCAGCATTCTGGACTCAATGATTGCATTCCATGTGCTGGGCACTGAGCTGGACATGGGGACCAACACTACAGGATTTGAAACTTTTACAGCTTGGACATTACCACTAAGCCCTAACCACAGCTACCATCAAATATTGACAACTGCTGGCTAGGAGAAATCCAGTAATATAGCCAATGAGCAACCACGTAACCTTGACGTGGTCAAGCCATGGTCAGCCAGGAATGACACCAGTATAACCACCACAATAGGGCATTAATGACCTCTTCAGTGACAACCCTACCGCTAGTGAATAAACACTATCTTAACCCCACTACAGCCATCACTTGATTGCCATTAGAACTGGGGAGTAACCACTTTTTTACTAGAGTGAGGAGGTAATCGCAACCACAAGCACTGCTAAACCCAAGTATTGACCAGAAAAGTATAACCTTTTACAGCTAGGGATGGGTATTATCCATACCTATTTATTAGACCATACTTGTGAATGTAGGTCATGCAATATTCTAGTAATTCCATCAGATTACCTCGCTACTGTTTTGCAAATTTGACATATTTATTGAGCTCTCTTATTAACACAGACTGCAATATGCCATTTATCACACAACTACACTAATGACAGGTTAAATTGAAATAGATCCCGTGTGTAATGGAACTTTGCATATCACTCTAATCCTTTTAAATTGCTGATGTGAATAAACTAAAGAATTCAACATTTACAGGAACAAGTTTGCAAAACTAATATTTGTTATTCACGATTGCCTTGTTCTGTCAAAAATCAGACCATTTTTGATGTGCCAGCTCCTTAATATCACAGTAATGTTGCAGCATCCACTCATTCCATTGTGGCACTAAATCAATAATGAATGAGGCAGATAAGGAACATGCTTTACATTATTGAACAGGTTTCAGGTGCAGAATGAACTTTATAATAAATGAAGCAGGATAGTAAGTAGAAGATATACCTTTTCAGAACAGTTGGTCACCATGGTTTAAACTCCATAAAAACTATTGCTGTAGAATGGGCAGCAGTAAATGCTGTCTCAGAATTGTGTAGTTAACGCTGCAAGTTTAATTGCATTAAGCAGATGGCTGTATGCTGATTCATCAGTGAGCTAGCTCTGAAAGGTTATTTTATTGTCTAATCTCCTGGAATATAAAATGTCGCATGAGCTATGCTACCTATGCAAAATAAATGTGCATGGGAGAGGTTTTGGGCACTGAGCTAGAAACGATTCAGTCAATTATTTTTTGATAGAATAGCAGATGCCCTACAATTTGTAAGGGAGGATAATTCAGGATAATTAAATGTGTGAAAATGTTATTTCCTTTAATAGAATGGGATGATTTGCTATTCTTTTCATAACTAGAACTTACATAAAAGTGAATGTGGAAAGTATTGTAAGC